TATTTATTTATTTCAATGTAGAAAAATACAAAATATAGGCAAAGCACCAAGATTCGCTAAAAAAATAAATAAATAAACAGAACAATCCTTAACAAAGTTTAAAAAAATATAAAAACCAGGGGGGGGAATTACCCTATATATTAAACTTATCAATAAGCTTACTCATAAATACCATATTGTACTAAAGTATAATCAAATATGACAAATTGTTGTAAAATATCATAAAATCTCTGCCAAAGTAGTACATATTGCTTCATCCTTTTCCAGGGTGAATGTTACACATTTCCAAAATGTGTAACTTATGGAACAATATCACTTTTTCCAGTTTCTCAATTCTATTAAGCAAATAGAATTCCTTAATTCTATTAAGCGCCCCCCCGCCCCGCCCCGCCGCTTGATACAGCCATAATTCCTGATAAAAGTCAGATTCCAAAGCTTCGGTATATAATTCAACATTCCATTAGCATTAACAAAATGTTAACTGGGGGGCAGTTTTTATCTTCCCTTCCAGTTTGTGCTTTCCCTGGACTTTCAGATCAACCTCCTCCATCCTGGCACTTGCAGCTGTGTTAGGACCGCAGCTCCCAGAATTCCCCATCGACAGTGGAATTCTGGGAGTTGCAGTCCCAACACATCTAGAGAGTACCAAATTGAGGAACGCTGCCGCATATGGTGGCCGTTGCCCATTTTTGACAAGCATCACCTGCTGTCCTTGTACTCTTGAAGCACGTGCTGCCCTTTGGGTTGGATCCTGACTCATTTTGCTCTAAAAGTTAGGGCTAGTGTATTGAAAGGCCTGGTAGTTCCTACGGGAGCCCCTTCACCCGTAGCCCCATGCCATCTCTGGAGTCCTCCTTTCCTTTACAGTTCCTTAAGAGTGGGCATTTTAAAAAGTACAATTAACTTTAAATAAAGATGCCTATAAAAAGGGCGTAACTTACAAGCAATACGTGGGATACAGGAACAAGGTTAGCTGATTTTTATTCTGCAGGGCAGAGCACACAGCAAGGTTTGGGGTAGCCATTCTTTGGGGCAGAATCTATTAAATGAGTGGAATTGTTGATTAAGTGCTGTACAAACGACAAGACTTTGCTGTGTGCTCCAAGTGTGAGGTGGGCAGCTGCTGGTCAGCTCCTCACCCGGCCTGAGCTGGCAAAGGTTGACCAGCCCAGGGTGGGCCCATTGGTTAGGGTTAGGGTTTTTCCCCTCTTGAGACGGGCTCACACAACAACCTTCTCATTTCTACGAAAGCATCATCTCTTCAGGGTTTGGTTATCTTCTTAAATGAATTTGTGAGCATCCCCCATTTTGGATTTGGGGGGGTTGTTTGCAGAGGTCTCTCTCCCTCTGCCTCTGCCTCCCCCCTCCCTGCTTCCTTTCTAATAAAGAGCTCATCAAACAGGCAAAGCTACAGAAGGGCCGAGTTAATTACAAACCCTCGTTCAGTGCTTTGAGGAAGGGGGGCGGATTTCTGGCAAAGCCCAGATCCGTCCCCCCGCCCCATCCCAAGGGATCCCTCCCCACACCTGCTCCAGCTAGGACCTCTCCTTGCACCCCTGCCCCACCCACGCCAACACGGCTGCTCCGTCCCTTCTCAGGTACTACCAGAGCGTCTACGACACGTCCGAGAACATCCGGCTGAAGTATCCCGAGGGGCTGAGCCCAGAGGAGGCCCTGAATTATGTGACGGAAACATCTAAGGTTTGCTGGGCCACAGAGGGAGCCGCCCGTCTGTCAAGGGGGGGGCGCTAACTTGGATTGCCTTGCTGGCTGGGTTGTCATAGGAACCGCCGCCCGCCGCCATACGAAGAAAGGTCCCAGAGGGGCTGTCTTGATTCTCCTTTCTTTCTCCCAGAGCTTAGCTGCCATAGCCACCGTGGTGGCCCGCACGCTCTACACACTTGCAGGAGGAAAGGGCGACCCCTTGCCAATTCAGGCGGATCCGCTCACGGTACGTGCTGATGGGATCCGGGGGGTGTGGGGCAAGGAGCCAGGCCTAAGGTTGCCTGCGCGTCCCTTCTGCCTTGGTCCGCGTTGTCCTGCTCCCTGTGAACGCCCTCCTTCCTCCCGCCCCCTTTTCCTTCTGCAGCGTTGGGTCCTCCCCCTTGCCCCAGGTTCAGCATGCAAGATTCCCAGATGCTTTGGCTGGCAAGATGCCCTCCCCTGACTGGTTTACGTGGTGCAGAAAAGCTTCTGAATTAGGGCCGGCATAATTTATTCAGCCGGTCTGGAGGGGCAGGTCAGGAGCTGCACAGAGTGTGGAATTCCTTCTCCCCATCCTGCCTTTTGAAATTCCTGCTCACCCCTTCCATCTCTTTCTGTAAAACCACCAATCATGGAACTTTCTACCTGTCTCTTCAGCGATCAGATGATGAATTTATTCTGTTTCTAGTCTGCTGCCATCAAGCAATTACTGAGGTGCACAGAAATAATTACAAAATATGTAGCATTAAATATCCACCGTATAATAATACAAAAATTAAAAGGGATGCCTTAAAGTAATGCAGAGGTGATCCTTCCAAAAATTAAATTTCAAAAGCCCTCTAGAAGAGCCCTTCCTTGCTTTTGTTAGGGCATTAATATGAGGGTAATACGGCTTTTGTGGGGAGGCTGTTCCATATTATAGGGCCCATCGCTGCGAAACATCTCCTGGCCTCAGTTCCCCTGACTTCACAGTAGTGGCAAACTACAAGTAATTTCTCTCAGGATGTAATGTGCTCATGGTGTTTAATGCCACAAATATATGGGCCACTAGATTTTGTACCCACTGCAGTTTCTGGGCCTCCTTAAGGCAGTCCCACGTAGAGCATGGTGCAGTAATGTAATTGGGTGGTAATGAATTACAAGGTCCTCTGGCCGTGGACGGGGCACCAACAGAAGTCAAGCAGATGGTTTCCTGACCAGCCTCTGCTTGCTTGCCACTCATCCATCCCGCAGTAGCTATGTGCCCAGGAGGTCCTGCAAGTCCTGGATCTGCTCTCTTGGGTCCTGCTGCCCCTTTGAGAGACAATGCCCGAGCTGACAGAGAACCTCACTGAAGAAACAGTAGCCCCGTCTCGCTTGGGGTCGACTTCAGCTTGTTTCTTTAGATCCAGTCCCCAACCATCACCAGGCACCAGGACAAGACTTGCATCGCATCATTGAAGCAGCCCAGGATAGTGATGTGCAGTTGGGTAACGTTACGTCAACCCCACTAGATAGACCAGTCAATGAAATCAAGTCCACAGGATGGCTAAAACTACTTTTATTGAGATAGACACCAAATCTTGCAAGTCTGATTGTGCTGAACCTCTTCAACATCTTTGTAAAAGGCTGACAGTCTTATAGTTCAGTGAATCAGGAAGGTGTCTGCTTGAGCAGCTTCTGAATGTTCTCTGGACATTCCGGACTGAATGCTTTAGCCCCCTTTGCCTAGGCAACAGAGCCTGCATATCTTCATCGAGGTCACCTTCCTTACTCTCTACGTATCAGCATGTTAGTACCACCACATCCCAAACCTCTGCCAGTGCTTCATGTAAATGGTGGGGAGAGAACTCATCCCTGGGGCATTCCAGTTGTAAGAAGACACTGGACTGAACTCTCCCCACACATAACTCCCAACTGGAATCATATATCAGGAAGATTGTCCTCGGTCTCTAGAGATGGCCCAGAAGGATACCATCAAAGCCAGCTGTGAGATCTAATAGAAGTGCTGCGTCTTCTCACGCAGGTCCCCACAAAGATCAAAAACAAGCATGACTCCTGCAGTTTCCAGCCCACGCCCAGGTCTGAATTCTGACTGAAAAGGAGCCAGATAATTTACATGCTAGGATGTTAGCTCCTCACCCCAGTCTCAACAACCTTCCCTGAAAAGGGAAGGCCAGAGACAGGGCAATAGCTGTCTGGATCCAGAGAAGACCTCTTGAGAAAAGGGCATTCTGCAGCCTCTTTCAAGCCACAGGAGATACGCTCTCCCACAAAGAGGAGTTGACCATCTCTGATCAAAGGAGCCAGCTGAGTATGACTCCTACCCTCTGCGAAAACCAGGAGAGGCACTTATCCAATCCACAAGGTTGGGGGACATGCTAGTGAATGCCTCATCCATTTCCTCAGGATTCATAGGCCCAAACAAGCTCCAGTTAATATAGCCAAGATGTCACGCTGATCTTCACGATTGACTTTGCCCACGTGGAGTCAAGACTATTGTGAATCTGAACAACTTTATGGGCATTGTCACAGTGGTCAGAGGGGAGATCATCTGGCATTTCTGCACCCAAAATGGAATTTGTCACCCTAAATAAGGCTGTTGGCTGACAATCTACGGACGCAATAAGGGAGGAGAGAGGCTTTTCACCTCTATTATGGGAGGCTTCAGCATGAGCTCAATCAGATTCACTTTGAGTCATCCTCCACTGGCACTCCTAGCACCGTTTTTTTAGATAACTCATTAGAAAATATATACATTAAGTTCTTGGTCTGCCAAGTCCTGCATCTTCTTCAGCATTCAGTAGGCTTCATGGCTAAGTGGAAGGGTGGAAGCTGCTCTCTTCTGGGGCTGGTACAGACCTCTGTTAGCTGCTGCTCTTTAAACCTTGGTGCCTTGACGCTTTGCCTTTTTCTTCCAGGTCACCCGCATGCTGTATGGTTTCCTGATCCAGTCCAACAACTCCTGGTTCCAGTCCATCACTAAGCCAGATTTCAAAGGGCCTCTGGGTGAGGCTAGTTTGTGTGTGTGTGAGAGAGAGAGGGAAGACTTCAGGGGTGAAGGCTACTGCCTGAGAGCTCTCCTTTGAACCCCCCTCTCCTTGCTGTTCCCTCCCAGGTGACGAGCCCCTCCAGTACTACATTGCTGTGTCTAGTCCTGTCAACTCCACCAGTCTGGTTCAGTATGTCTTGGCCAACCTCACAGGTACCCGCCTTAGAGACAACACCACCAAGGACCATTGCAAAGCTTCCAAGGAAGATGTGAGTCTTCTCATCCTCTCGTCAAGCACTGTTTTAAAAAACCTGGATAAAATAAGCAATCACTAGGAAAAGTATAACAAACATTTACTGTTTAAAAAGTTCTGGAAAATAAACAGCCGGGTGATGAAAACTTAGCAATGAAACCCTGCTGGACTTCCTTGGGGAATTTGCCATCTGAGATCTCTTCCCTCTTCTGTTGCCACCACCCTAACTTTTGAAGGCATCTGGAGAAGATCTCAGATGAGGCTGTTGATATCCCAGCAAATTTGCACAGGATTCAGGGAACTTCTGAGGATCTTAGTCCCAAGCTTGTCTACCTCATAGATAGACAGGTACAGTTCCTGAATGTACAGCTAGCCAGGAGCCTAGCTAACCCTAACCCCAACCTTTTGTGCCCACTGAAGATTCCAGATTGGTTCAGTGATTTTTATTGGAAGATGATAGAGGCCTCCCAGCATAAAAGTAGAGGGTAAGAGCCAAGAAACGCCAATGCGTTACAACCATCCTGCTGTTCGGAGGCCCGGCTGATTGTGTCTTCCGCAGGGATGACCCTTTTCTGCACACACCTTAAGGGAGCCTCTGCCAGTGGGGTTATCTGGAATAGGGCAATTTCTGCAAATCTATATATGGACAGATTCCTATCAAGGCAGTCCCTCAGGTAGCTCAGCTTTCATTTTAAAGCGTTCATGTTCAAAGCAACCTGTTAACAAACAGGCTTTGCCTCTGTTGCCCTCCTCTGCAGTTGTATGACTACATGTGGGTGCAGGGCTCTCCGTACCCCAATTCCACCTCTCCCCGCAAGCCGTTCTGCGTCAGGTCGACTGTCCGCCGCACGCCGGCGTCCTCCCCGGCTTTTGAGCTCAAACAGTGGGGATCCACCGAGTTTTCCACGTGGACTGAGAGTCGCTGGAAAGAGCTTCATGGCCGGATCTTCCTGGTCGCCAGCAGGGAGCTTGAGGTGAGGCACCGAATGCAGCGGGACGGATCAGTCTGCTGAAGCGCACGACTTTGCACCACGGTCTCCTCAGGGAGACTCGCTGGGGGCTGGGCTGGGCGAGGCCTTGGTTTTCCCACCAGAGCCAAGGGCTGGTGCAGATGGGTCTGTGGAACCTGAGCTGGCAACACCTGACCAGGAAAGGTATTTTGGAGGTCGAGGGAAAGTTGTCCCAGTGCATAGCTGCTTTTTAAAAAGGCAAATTCCACTAGGACTGCTGGTGCAGTAATATGGTCGAAGAGCCATGTATGGTTCTAACTCCCGCACCTTAAAAAGTTATTTTAAGTAAATAAATGGGGTAGTACGGAGCTCAAAAAGATATAAAGAAAGGCAACTGAAATGATGAAAGCTCCCCGACGAAGAACTGAACTTGGAGGAAGAGGGAGATGTGATCAATATGCAGTCGTGCCAGTCCCTCTCTCACAGTGTTCGAATTCTGCATCATCGACCAAAACTAAATGCAAGACAGACAGGTGTCAACATGTTTTCACCCAACACGTTGTGGCATTTGCCGCCGACAGTTGTTGTAATGGCAGCCCGTTTGAGGGGAGTGGGATTCACTGCAGGAAGCAACAATCAATTCTGGCCATTTTTGGTTCGAAAGTTCCTGAAAATAATTAAAGGGGGCTTTTCCAGCTTTCTTTATACATGCAAATTAGAAAGTGGTATGAGGCCCTGAAGGCAGAAGTTAACTCCCCCCCCTTAATTCTCTCTTGTGATATCTGAAATTTCGGGGAGGGCAGAACCTCGCTGACGGCCTGCGCCGGGTCTTTCTAGTTAAGAGAACCTGGGGAGGACTTGGAGGTCGTAACTGGTCATGAAACTTGGAGAATTGGCTGAAGAGTGGACTGTTCAAACCCAGGTTATGTCCTCAATATGGCAACCAGGGGATGCGCCTGTAGCAGGGGCAACCTAGAACCCAAAGAATGATAGTATTGGGAGGGACTTCAGGGGTGCTTCAGTCCCACCCCCTGAAAGATCTGCTGAAGGACTTCCAAGAGAAGGCTCTCCAACCTCTGTCTGAAGGCATCCGGTGAAGGGAGATGTGCCACTTTACAAGGCCACCTATTCTGCTGCTTTTTGACAGCTTTTACTATCAAGAATTTCCCTCAAATTATATTTCCCCATTTCAGCTAATTTGTCCTGCGTCTGCTGTCTGGGCCACAGAGAATATGTCCACCCCCTCCTCTATATGGCGGCCTTTTAGAGGGCCAAAGACGGCAATCATATCTCGCCTCTTTCTTCTCTTCTGCAGGCTAAGCGTACCCAGTTCCTTTACATTTTTCATAGGACTTGGTTTTGAGTCTCCTCACTGGTGTTATAACCCTTCTCTGAATTCCCTGCAACTGTTGTTGCCTTTTTAGATTGTGGTGGCCAGAACTGGTCCTGGTGTTCCAAGTAGGCCCTGACCCATGGCCTAGTGGAGGGGGACAACTTCTCACAATCCGATCTCTGGGCTTCAGCGATCCGAAATGTGCATAATTTCCTCTGCCATTGAATAACTTCATTTCTTTGGCTGACGCTCTCCCTTTCCAATGCTCTGCAGATCATCACCCTGGTTGTGGGCATCATTATCCTCATTGTCTCGTTCGTTGCCACCTACTTCATCAACGCCAAAGCCCGCGTGCTGTTTTCCACGTCGGGGGACTCTGAAACGGTGGCTTATTGAGAATGGGCTTTGGTAACTCTAGCACTAAGAACCAGGCAAGAAAGAAAGCGAATGAATTTGGCACTGCTGGACCCTTTCCTTGATTACTCTGGAGCGTGGACCTGAAAGGAACGTGTTGATCGCCCCCCACCCCCACCCCCCGTTGAGAGGAGCGTTGCGTGTGTACCGAAAGGCAGTGCTGGCGTGCACGGATGGATTTGGGAGGAGGGCCTGGTCGGGTCTCTCGGACCCTCCTTTTTCACAGCAGCCCAGATCAAATGAGGCGCGTAGCACGTGGGTCTTGGCACACTCTTGTGAGCGGTTAAGCATTGGCTACCAAGAAGACTTTCTGCAGAGCATTTGTGGATCTTCAATCTTTTAGTTCTTTTTTTTTTTTTTTTTTTTGAAGATCCAGATGAATTGCTAGAATCTTTTGATTTACGTACATCAAGGTGAAAAAACAAGGGATGCAGCAAAGTTGGAAAGGGGAAATGGGTGTAAACTATCCTTTTTTTTAAAAAAATGGGTTCTTTTTTTGTACATATGATATAAATAGCTTGTTTTAATTAAAAACAACTGGCCCCCTTACTTACAGATTAAATTTGTTGATCCCACCAGCCTTTACCTTATTTGCTTGGTTGCCTGAGAACTCAAGAACGTCGTGTCTGGGGCTGGAGAGATGGCGGGCGGTTCTTCTCTGGGAAGGTGCTACAGCAGCCTTCCTCAAATGAAACCCAGCACATCTGGAGAGCGGCAGATTGGGGAAGGCTGAATAATAAATAGATGCACGCATTTCTCTGTGTTGAAATTGAACAGGTGGTGTTCTGACCCATTACGTTGCTGGGCCAAGCAGCTTCTGGCAGCGGCAGGTTTGTTTCAGTTGTGACTATGCCCGGACTTCTTTGAGACTGTGTTTGCAGCAAGTGCTTACTCATGCTTCACTACAGTTTGATTTTAATTTTCTACAATTAAGCAGAGCGTGCACAACATGCTCGTCTAAATGTGGTCGGCTAGTTTTGTTGAAGAACAGGAGAGATTAAATTAAACAGGTAAACAGTGCTGAAAAAGTGTAACGCTTTAACCAGTCAAAAGACCAGATGCGCCTGCAGAAGAATTGGGTTCAGGCTTTGGAGGCTGATAGCTTTCCATAGATCAGTCTGTGAGAACGTGACTTAGTGGGGTTACTGGCCTTTAGAGTCCCTCTGTAGCTGGAACTTTGACATCTGCAGCATGACACGTTCAGCCTGTGACATCTCCATGAGAACTGGGGAGATTGTCGGCACATTGCATTCAATCATGGTTGGCTTGATTGAGCAAACCATAATTGGCTGCATACGTACCCCATGCTAAACCACAAACCAGGTAGGGGGCCACTGTGCCTGCATTTACATGTCGTATTAAGCCACAAGCAGGGTACATGATGGCTTAAGGCAATAGGCAAAAGGTTTCTGTTCTGGCCAAGTGGAATAATACCGGGTATTTTCTGGCACATGGCACATGGGATGAAGGGTGGAAAAGCGTAACCCAGCCAGGAAAACTAAGCAGACATTTCCAGTATGGGGTTCCAGCCTTTTTTCTTCTCTTTTTCACACGTGGATCCCATCCCTTGTGATGCCATCTCTCTCCTTCACCCTCTTCTGGGAGCCAGTTTTGCAAATTACTTCTGCGTTGAGTGAAATGCCTCTGGTGGGGTCTTCCTTGAATGCATTGCTGTCAGTGCCAGTTGGCAAACCCAACTCCTAGTAGAATGAGAAGAAGGGTGCTCCCCAAATAATGTGGACTGATTGTAGATAATTTTTGTTTTGCTTGAAGGGAGAAAATCTCGCACCCAGAGAGGGGGATGGTATGGGACAGTCCAGTGCTCACCGTTAGCAGTAGAGACGTACACATTCAGTACTGGTTGATGTATTTAGTTGATTGATCAAACTGTTCCATACTTTTGTACTAGCCAGCTTAGCATCATGGGCCTTGTCCACACGCTCTCTTTGCCCTGGTACTGAAATGGCCAGCTCACCACTTGTTGAAGACACGCCTCCATTTCGGTGCCAGCCTGCCACTGGCAGGAGGCAGATCAAGG